GACGGAAAGGCCTAAATTCATACTTAACAAAGCAAAGATAGAAGCCTGACAGAAATAGCTATGATATAAGCCAGGATTTATTTAGATGTACCTCTGAGAGAGGCTGGGATTTGATGTGGTATTCCAAGAGCTATTCCCCAGTTTTCTGTGCCCTTCTCCCCAACCCCCTCTCCTTCAATACTTTGTTGCGAAACAAAAGAAAACTTCTCGCTCTACAAAAGGACTAAAGGGCAGTCTACCTCCTGCCTGAATCAATGCAAACGGATGGAAAAAAGGGAGGGTCAGAGGTGGGGAGAAGATAGGTAGGTAGGGAGAGAGGATGGGGTACCGTTCTGAGACGGGTAATCTCAGAAACACAGATGTTAAATCAGATCTGAAGAGGGGGTAGAAGAGAGGGTAAACTGCGTAACTTTTTTATCCCTTAGAATTCAGGGTTGTTTGCAGTAGTCCTCGAATTTCCTTAATCACCATGCACTTAATAGAGGGCACCATTAGTGGTGAAGGGGAAACCTCAATACACAGTCCAAGCAGGAATATTTCCAACATAGTAAAACTCCTCAGGCCACCAACACGATCTTCTTCCCACCTAAATTCCCTCTAGATGCAATGCTTACTCCTTCATATATACCCATATTCTGACACTGATGAATTGTGCTGATGCCCTTGTTTATCAGCCCACTCACGCTCCTTTCTTCCCCTAATTTGCTACAATGACTCTCCACTGACCCCCCCACCACTCACGACACTGCTGCCCCTCCCCCACACTGATCAACTAATCCAATTAATAGTCCAACTAATCCTCTCACTTAGTGATTCTCCAGCATTAAGCAGCCCTCCAAACCCGCCGATGAGTCACACTTCGTAACATATTTGTATCGAACCCTCAATGATCCCCCACAAAGAATGCCTACGATCCATTCCGTCCTTACACTCGCTCTCTCCAGGGTCCCCTCCTCTCTGCAACAAGCCCAGCCTGCAGCGATCCTCTCCCGCGTCGACTCCATTCCACCCTTCCTCACACAGACCTCCCCACCCTGACCCGCTCCCCTGCTGCCTCCGCTCCCCGCAAATCCTCAAACCCCTCTCTTCTCTTGCTGACCCCCTCCGGTGTCTCTCCTCACACAGCTCCCGGTCACGAATGCCGCCCTCCGATGCGATTCCACCAGCCTTCGCCCGCCCCCGCCTTACTCTCCCTACGCTGACACTGAGGCCTCTTCCCTGGGCCTCTTTCGGAAGCTGCCCCCAGCCGGTACTAAACACTGCCCTCAGCACCACCAGAGCCCACTCTACCCAGCCCACCGCCTCAGATACCGCCCCCAGCCCCCAGCCACTCCCCCACCGCCCCCGGCCCTCGCTCACCCGCCTCCCTGCGTTCGCGCAGCCGAACCTGCCGTCAGCGACACCTGACAGCAGCCCAATCAAAGCGCGGCTTCTCTGCCGTGTCACCAATCAGCGGAGGGCGCGCACCGGCAACAGAGTCAGGCTGCGTTGGCCTGCACTTCTGCGTGGAGGAGGGTGGCCCCTAGCGGCTGTAGGGAGGGAGTGCAACCTGATGCTCCCCTTCCTCCGATTTCTGCGTTGGCACAGCTCAGATGCTTCGTTTAGACAGAGACTTTACAGTGAAACCAAGAGCAGGGAAGAAGCAAGATGCAGAGGAAGAGGCACAATTTGTGCCATTGCACGTCCTTGAGAACAAAACCAGGTTTTCTGTTTGTTTTTTAAAACAAAAGGAGTATGACATACTTAGCCAATAGATGTAGGTTGAAAATGTTAACAGATGTAGAGTAGACTGGAGACGAAAAGAGACAATGAGAAAAACAAATCGGAAAATTAAGGGAAGGAACAAAGACACTTATTTAGGGAGGAGACAACAAAAAGGATGGACATGGAAGACTGGGCAAGATGGTTCCCATCTTCACACTGGGCTTGTTCTTTACCCCTCCCCCAGCCTTGGAACCAGACAAACCTGGGTTTGAATCCTGGCCTTGCCTTTAATAGCTGTGCAGCTTTGGACAAGTCACTGAACTTCCCTCAGCCTCCATTTCTCCGTCTGTAAGAGAGTGGTTTAAAAACCTAATCAGGGGTGCCTAGGTGGCTCCATCGGTTAAACGTCCGCTAGGACCGTAGGATCGAGACCCTCATCGGTCTCCCCTGCTCTACAGGAGCCTGCTTCCCCCTCTCCCTGTGCCTACCACTCCCCCTGCTTGTGCACGTGTGCTCTCTCTCTGTGAAATAAATAAATACAATATTTAAAAAAAAAACTAATCATAAGGTACTGATTATATGAAAGCATTTTGTATATGTTTGCATTTTTATTCTTTTTTAAAAGATTTTATTTATTTATTTGACAAAGAGAGACACAGCGAGAGCAGGAACACAAGCAGGAGGAGTGGGAGAGGGAGAAGCAGGCTTCCCGAGCAGGGAGCCCGATGCGGGGCTCCATGCGGGGCTCCATGCGGGGCTCCATGCGGGGCTCCATGCGGGGCTCCATGCAGGGCTCGATCCCAGGACCCTGAGATTATAACCTGAGCTGAAGGCAGATGCTTAACGACTGAGCCACCCAGGCGCCCCTGCATTTTTATTCTTATCTTTTCATTCTTACTTAGGTTTCCCTGGCCAAGACAATCCCAAGTTCCATGTTTTTCCTCTGCAACTTCAGGGATCCTACCACTTTTCAGTCAGGTGCCTCATTATACTGACCCCAAGGCATCCTGAATGAGATAGGGATGATTCTAAGGACCGTCCCTAAGGGAAATAGAATCCTCCTTAGTTCTGCTTAGGCTCATGTTCTCTCACCACTCCAACCCTTCAAACAAGTTATTAAAACATCTTCTAGTTAATTAACTTGTCTTCTCACCTCCCCCACCCCCCGGAAAAATGTAGGCTCAGTCCCTGGTCATCCATTAGAACAATCCAGTTCAATGAAATAATACATACAAGACTTCCTTATAATTGTAAAGTGCTTTATAAATGTTAAGTAGTATTGATATCATTATCGTTAAAGAAATCAAATATATATATATATACACATATATATATATATATATCAATTACTTCCTGTATGCCATAGGATAATTTTTTAAAGTGAGCATTAATACATTATGTGGCTGTTAGAGGCTCACAGGGAATAAGAAAAGTACACAAATACATGTCTTTTCTCAGCGGAGCTAGTACTCAAATTTGGACAGCTAGTCTCCAAACTTGAGTGCTTTCTCTATTCCTCTGGGCAAGTCTTATTTTTCCTTCTGTAATTCTCTCTTCTTGTTTCCTACCTCTTTAATCTTAGTAACCACCCTCAATCAAATAACAACCCTACTGCTCTGAAAGATTATCTCCTTTCTTTATCTGGGTAAATATACACCATTCCAAGTAATTATATTTGCTTGCTCATAACTACTCCTTAACCTAGACACTGAGCCCACAGGTAACATTTTCCATCTCTCCAAAAGTGACTCTAATTGTAGAACTCTATTCTCTGATATTTGTTCTCTTACCAGAAGAAGGAATTAAGTGACAGACACAGAAGAGAGGGGGATGGCTTCTAAGGATACCAAGAAATGAGGAAGGGAGGAAAAGGAACACAGGAGAAGACTGAGAGGAATAAAGGGAATCAGAGTATAGGGGTGGGGTCTCATCAGTGGGGCCAGAGGACAATGTGAAGGGAATTTATCTTTCTCAAATAAGATTTCCAAGTATCTTACTATCTTGTGGGTACACCAAGATAGCTGAGAGAAGGGACTAACACCATCATACGTACCCCACCTTAACTGACTTTCCATACTGAAGCCCCACATCTCTATTTTGGCTCCAGCATTCATTCTCTTTCCTGCCAGGACAAAGGTCAAGTCACATGTAAGTCACACTTTGAACTGTGGGAACACACCCTCTCAAATCTGAATACACACCTTGTGAGGAGAGAGGACAGAAGACCAGTAGGAAGGCAGAGATTCCCTGGTAACTTTAGCCCTTGAACACCACTCCCCTTTACACTCTGTATTAAACAGCATTAGGGAACTAAGAGAAGCAACACTTGTGGTGGTTGGAGACCTGTGCCTGCCTGTCCCATTCCTACACGTCGTCATCTTACCACACCCTTCACTTCACCTTATACTCCCCTCCAGCCCAGGAACTGGAAGGTACAAAGAGGGAAGAGAAGGGAGAGGAGAAAGAGGAAACTAACGATTCCCTGCCCAGCCCCAGCTCCATACCCAGGGCGACCAACAGGTAGGCAAGCTTGCAGAGAATACTCAGAGGGAGTCCTGTGGGCAGCAAACACTTCTGAAGCTGGATAAAGCACGAAGAATTAAAAGTTCGAAGGTGAAGTAGAAGATGGAGAGGAGGGGAGGGGGTGAGGAAAGCTGGAGATCATGAGAAGTGGAGGCAGGACAGGGCTTCAGGCTTGGGGGCTGAGTGGGGGTAGGGAACACAATATAAATGGGATAAGAGTTAATGTTTCTCGAGTTCCTCTCAGGGAATTCTTCCACAACCTTGTAAGAATAGCACAGCTGTGGCAGAAGGGTGCCTTCGTCCTCTTCCTGGTTCTAAGGAAAAGGTGACCTTGAGCCACCAGGCGTCTTTCCCACTATCTGCCTCTCTGTGCTTCCTTCTTGTCTTTCTCTGGTATCTGTACTTATTCCGCGGTTTCTCCCCACGGCCGCCTCCCCTGAGATTATGAAGAGGTTGCTGGGGAAGGCCGAAAACTAGAGAAGAGGTTGTACAATGTCACCCTTTAACACCCAGAGTGACGAATCGGGTTCCCGATTAAATGGAGAGGCTTGGGGGAAGGGTGTTTAGCCTTTCGCGGGTCCCCTCGGGTGCTGTCCTGTACTTGGTGCTGAAATCTGGGCGACCTCGTCTCAGGTGGGTCCGCGTCCCCAGCCTAGAGTTGGTCCCCTAATCTACCTGTCGGTGCTTCCCACCTCGGCCCCCGCACACCTAGCTTGGTCGCAGGCGGAAAGGCGGGGCCTGCATGAGCCCCACCCCTGGAGACTGCAGCTGGGGCCTCCCTCTCCTCCACCGCCCGCCGCTAGCTCATTGCGCCTCTCCTGCAGTCTGGTTGGAACCCGCTCCGTCTCCGGCTCCAGCCTCCACTCCGGCCCCCATTTCGGCTCCAGCCTCGCACCCAGTTCCGGCCCTCAATCTTCCTGGTTGCATCCTCCCTCCCCGTTCCTGCCCTGCGCCAGCTCCAGCCTCGGGATTGAGTAGCCGGTCCCTCAAGCCATGGCTGGTCCCTTCTCTCGTCTGCTGTCCGCCCGCCCGGGGCTCAGGCTCCTGGCTTTGGCTGGAGCTGGGTCTCTAGCCGCTGGGTTTCTGCTCCGCCCGGAACCTGTAAGAGCTGCCAGTGAACGACGAAGGCTGTATCCCCCGAGGTATCAGTGTCTGAGGCGCAGGGGTGTGGGGGGGTGGGGTGGGGGGTGGTGACGGGAACGAAGATGGGAATGGAGATGAGGACCCGGGCAACAGAGAAGGGTTATAATCACGAAGCCTCTGGAGTGGAGTGCTGTGCAATCTGGAGACCTCAGTGGGTTAGGGATTGAGGCCAAAACCGTGAGGCTAACGCATTCCTGGGGACCTGTAACGCGCAGTCCCCGCCCCCAAGACCCGTTCTGGCCCTGTGAGTTCTGGCTGCCCCTACTCTGCCCAAATCCCTAATTGAGAGACCAGTAACTATCCTTTTCGCTTTCCTCCATCTCCTTTCCTGCTGTTTCCCCCCATTTCCTGAATTCCCCTCTTTGGTCTTGCCCTTCCCCCATCCCTGATGCTGTGCTAATGGTAGGAAAGAACTGAGCAAATCTGGGGGAATTGAGCCGGTCGCTGAGAGGAAGCTAGAACTGTTGGGAAAGAATAGACCCTGAAAGTCCCTAAAGAGATTACCAAGGTTTAGGCCCCCTCTAATCTCCCCTCCTCACAAGGAGCAAAGCCAGATATGGATAACTGGATAGCTCCCAGGTGACTGCACTGGGTCTAGGCCCCCTGTGCCCTCCCTCCATGGTTACTGGGTACCCCCTCCCTAGCGCTGAGTACCCAGACCTCCGAAAGCACAACAACTGCATGGCCAGTCACCTGACCCCAGCAGTCTATGCCCGGCTCTGCGACAAGACCACACCCACTGGTTGGACGCTAGATCAGTGTATCCAGACTGGCGTGGACAACCCCGGCCACCCCTTCATCAAGACTGTGGGCATGGTAGCTGGAGATGAGGAGACCTATGAGGTAGGGGGCCCCCAGAGTCTCCCTGGTGACCCAACTCATCTTCCCAGTAATCCCAGCTCCTTCCCCCTACAGACCCTTCACTTTCCTTTAAGGCTGGACCTTCCATACTCACGTTTTCTGACCCAGTGAAATCAATCCACAACTAAAGCCTGAAAAGGGATCTCCTCTTTTTAACCACCCTCTCCCTCTTAATTCCCCATCAGGTATTTGCTGAGCTGTTTGATCCTGTGATACAAGAGCGACACAATGGATATGACCCCCAAACAATGAAACATACCACTGACCTGGATGCCAGCAAGGTAGGTCAGATATTCCCCATCTGATTTGCATTGCCTCATGTACAACACTGTTTCTCTAATCCCTTCACCTTAATTATTTCCTGACTCGGAGTCATTAGACTGCTGAGCTTTTAGTGTTGGTGTGGGGGGAGGAATTGTATCTTAAGAAGCAGCGGATATGGAGAGGAGAGGGTGGATGAGAATGACCATACCCCAAAGTCAGCAGTTTGAGGGAGGGTTCATAATGCTCCCTTCAGTTGGAGTACTTGCTCGTTGAACTTCTCCTTCCAGTGCATGCAGTGAGGGTCCCTACAGTCCTTAAGGTCTCTCCTTCCCCTAGGCCCTCAGTTCCCACCCACTGTGTCTGTGACTTATATTAATTTCTCTGATTCCCTAGATCCGTTCTGGCTACTTTGATGAGAGGTATGTATTGTCCTCGAGAGTCAGAACTGGCCGAAGTATCCGCGGACTCAGTCTTCCTCCAGCCTGCACTCGGGCAGAGCGACGAGAAGTGGAACGTGTTGTAGTGGATGCACTGAGTGGACTGAAGGGTGACCTGGCTGGACGTTACTATCGGCTCAGTGAGATGACAGAGGCTGAGCAGCAGCAGCTTATTGATGTGAGGGGCCTTGAGAGGGAGCAGGATTGAGGAGCAGATGGAAATTAGAGTCAGAGGGGAGGGTGGGCCAGATGAGACAGAGGCCCAGGGGCTACTGTGAAGATTCTTAAACCAAGTCCTTTTACTTGCCTCAGGATCACTTCCTATTTGATAAGCCTGTGTCCCCATTGCTGACTGCAGCAGGAATGGCTCGAGACTGGCCAGATGCTCGTGGGATCTGGTATGAGGCTTACCTTACCTCTTTTGTCCCCATGCTGTTAAGTGCCTTTTATTCCTCTGTCTCTTCCAGTTCTTGACCTGCCTCTTGATCCCTGTCTTTTCCTCTTTTCTGCTTTCAGGCACAACAATGAGAAGAACTTCTTGATCTGGGTGAATGAGGAGGATCATACACGGGTCATCTCCATGGAGAAGGGTGGCAACATGAAGAGAGTGTTTGAAAGATTCTGTCGAGGCCTCAAAGAGGTTGGAGAAGAATGTATAAGGGAACTAGGTGGGAGGACATAAGGAAAAAACAAAGACTAGACTGTATAATTTATCAACCAACTCAGGACACTTTTGATGGCAAAGGGGATCACTGTCAATCACTTCAGGACAATATATCAGGACTGTCCAGGGAAAACCAGGATAGATGGTCACCCAAGAATAGAGAGAAAGAATGTTAGGAGCCTAAGGTAAATAAAGCAGTTGCCAGATAAGACAAAGAAGGAATAACTGAGATAGTGGGTCAGTGCCCGGGATGTGGGGAGTGTGCAGATAAGGAAAAGTTTGAGCCTGGATCAATGTAGGGAGTGAAAGATTGGTGTATTCGTGATTCCATTGTAACTACCCAGTTCTGAACCAAGGTAGGCCTTGGCTCTGGATTCTGTCATTCTTGCTAAAGTATCATGTCTAGGGTTTAAGCTGAGAGTAGGAGGGAGACCGGGGAAAATGGAAGATGGAATGGCTTAAGTTCCAGAATGTGTGGCTCTACAGAATTCCTTAATCTTACATGGATTAGGTCTCCATATTCTATTCTAGATTAGAAATCCCCATAAACCCAGTTCTTATTGTATGTTCTCATATATACAATTCTATTTTGGACCTGTAAAGACAGAGAGCTCCTCCTCTTTTAAATTCTAGCTGGGAAGTTTTTACTGTTTTTGGCAAATAACAGATAACATATTCTGACTCTAAGTGGGTAGGGGAGTACTTTTCAAATGATATGCCTCAGGTTTCTCATCTGTAAAATTGGGATAGTAAAGCTTCCTACATTTTATGTTGTTGTGGGGATCAAATGAGATAATGCATGTAACATGCCTGGCCCATAGTAAATGTTCAGTGTTAGCTCCTGTTATTATTATTATTATTATTTTTTAAAGATTTTATTTATTATTTGACAGAGAGAGACACAGTGAGTGAGGGAACACAAGCAGGGGGAGTGGGAGAGGGAGAAGCAGACTCCCCGCTGAGCAGGGAGCCCGATGCGGGGCTCAATCCCAGGACCCTGGGATCATGACCTAAGCCGAAGGCAGACGCTTAACGACTGAGCCACCCAGGCATTCCCTGTTATTATTTTTTAATGGAAGGGTTTCCTCTTGTTCAGCCTATTAGATAACCTCCCCCCATGCCATGGATTTTTCCTGAACTATGAATAGGGTCCCCTTTACTCATGTTAGGTAGTTTTCATGTCCATCACTCTGGCAGATCCCCATCTCTTGAACTCTAATGGTCATCTCCATGATTAGGATGCTGAAGTGAAACAAAACACCCTTCCCATACTCCCCTCTCCAACCCCTCTTGCACACCCATAAGTATGAGTCCGGTTCTTCTAGACTGTTTGCACCTTTCTCTCTGCCTTCTCACATGTACTTTTCCCACAGCTAACAGAAGGCTTTCTTGCCTCTTCCTATTGCAAAGCCTACACCCTCATTTTATGTGTGAAAGAACCCTTCCAAACTCTAGGCTCATTAGCAAAGCAAAGATAATCCATGCATGCTGAGCTCATTGAATAATCATCCCTTTCTCAGTTCAGTTTACCACCTCCACTCATTTCCCTAGATCATCCCGAATGCATCATTCTCCCAAGTTTCTCTTCTTCCACACACAAGATATTTTGCTGTAATCTCACCATCATGGCCTTGCAACATCAAAATTACCTTGTATGCATGATAATAACAGGCCACTTACACACACACACACACACAGCAATGTCATTCTTTCACAGCCCAAGTTTCTGGTTCTAGATATACTTTTAGAGTTCCTGTAGGTCTGGCTAAGGGAGGGTTCACATATCCCTGACTTTTCACTAACAGAGCCTTTATGGACTCAGGTGGAGCGGCTGATCCAGGAACGTGGCTGGGAGTTCATGTGGAATGAGCGTTTGGGATACATCTTGACCTGTCCGTCTAACCTGGGCACTGGACTTCGGGCAGGAGTGCACGTCAAACTGCCCCTGCTAAGCAAAGTAAAGGAATTGTGGGGTTAGAGCAGGGTGTGGGTGAGGAAGGTGGCTGTGTGTGGATGGGAGGGTGGGAGCATTTTGGAAAGGAGCCAGACATATTATGTCTGGAAAATGTCAGGGGAAAGAGCTCTGAGCATGTTCAGGGTAAAACAAGTCTCTGCCCCCTACTGACCCCGCCCCAACCCCTATCTCCTCCCCTCTAGGATAGCCGCTTCCCAAAGATCCTGGAGAACTTAAGGCTCCAAAAGCGTGGTACTGGAGGAGTGGACACAGCTGCCACAGGCAGTGTCTTTGACATCTCTAATTTGGACCGACTGGGCAAGTCAGAGGTGAGATCCTTAGGGATTAGGGTGAGGAGAGGCATAGGTCTGTGGGGGTTGAAATATGACAGTGAGTGGGCCCCAGGAATCTGAAATGAAATTCAGGTTGAGTGGGGAGGCAACTGGAAATGAGTTCCTTGAGCAGGCAAATCAGTGCTAAAGAATAAAACTCAAGTTATGGGAAGCAGAGGTCAAGGGTTAGTGTCCTTCAGGTGGAGCTGGTGCAGCTGGTCATCGATGGAGTAAACTATTTGATTGATTGTGAACGGCGTCTGGAGAGAGGCCAGGATATCCGCATCCCTCCACCTCTTGTCCACAGTAAACATTAAATCCCCCTCCCCAGAAGATGACTCAAGATCCCCAGGAGTTCTGCTCATTCTAATGTGGCCCATTCTACTTGCCTTGGATGCCCCCAACTCCTTCTGTCCTAGTAAAGACTCCTTGCTATGCTCTAGCTGTCTGTGTTATTTCTAATGGTTGGGGTGAGGAGGGTCTAGCCTCCAGGAAAGGAAAAAAAGCAGTGGGGTTATTTATGATGGAAAGAAGACTCCAGATATGGCATGCCAGGAACACTGATTCTCAGGTGGGTGGAAAGCATTAGCATTTTACCCATATTCCTTATCAGCTTCCTGAGGATAATTAGAATGCATTTCCATTTGCATTTTATTAAAGTTTCTTTCCCAACAGCTCTCTCTTTAACTGTGGAGACAGGTTTGCAGCAGGTTGCCAAGGAAGCAGGTGGTCAATGCCATGGCCCAGGAGGGTTGTGACCAGTCCTGAAGGCCCCAGGCTGTGCTTCGACCTATAATGAGACAGAGAATGGGAGGAATGTTACAACTGTGTTCCCCAGGAATCACTGATAGATGGAAACTATCTGCCTAGACCCCTTTATTCCAGGGATCTCCCTGAGTCAGAGAGCACCAAGTTCAGGGTCAGATTCTGGGTCAGGAGTTGGCGGGTCAGGCTGTGCATTTGGGAACTCACCCTGCTGTTCTGGGCTCTCCTGCCCCTCGTGCTGGGCCCATGCCACAGCTCGTCGCTGCTCAGGACTCAGAAAGGCCATTTGTTCAGGAGTGACAGCCACAGCCTGAACACTTGTGAGACTAGATAGCTGGGAGGGACTGAACACCACCTGGGGGCGGGGACAGGAATCAGGGCATCCATTGTGGCCCCCGTTGGGCCCTGGCTCTTCGTGGTCACCGCACGCCCCAGCCCATCAATACTTACAGCAAATTTAGGAGCAGGGATGACAGAAATAGCAAGAGGGGTAAGGCCCTGGATCTGTTCCTGCAGCAGTGCTGAAAGGGCCAGGTCTGGGATCCCCGCTGTTGAAGCAAGTGGGATGGGCATCCAAACGTTGTCTTCTACTGGCCTTCCCCCTTCTCTTCAAACCTATAGACCTTCTCCAACCTCTCCCAAAGTACCCTACCATACACCTTGCCCAACACATCTCCAACCTCTTACCTAAATACCTTCTTGGACTCCCACCCTAAGAATTCCACAGCAGTCTTCCACCCATGGTACGGAAACCAAACCCTGACAACTAGTACCAGCAGTGGTCCAGCCTCCCTACCTGCTATTGTGCCAATTTCGGTGAAGATCTCCGGCCCCCAGTTACTGATGGGGCCAAAACCGCCAGGCCGCACAAGGAGCTGGGCTAGAACTTCCAGTTGCTCCTCAGAACACTGGAGATGCAGATTGCCCAGGAAGAGAGCTGCTTGGCTGTGGAAGAGTGGGATGGAAGGGAGGAAGATTCAGCCACAGTGATAGGGCCCATGGTCATGAGCTGGGAGTATAGATGGCTTCAATGAGGCCCCTTACTCCATGGGACCACTCCTTCGTGAGCCTTCCAACCCCAGTGAGTCCACCTTTACATCAGCACCACCACCCACACCCTTCCCTCTGCAGGTGACCTGAATTCCCAGCTGCTGATATGTTGTAGCTCCTCCGGCCGAAGTCCACAGAGCGTATAACCCAGTGCAGTCAGGTGAAGGAAGTCCAGGTGGCTCACATGCCGGCCACTCTGCCGCAAGAAACTGGAGACCACAACCCGGAGCTGGGATGGGGATGGAGGGCACAGAATAAGGAGAGAAATCATGGGGAATTCGTGGAAGAGGAAGTGATCAGGGAAGTGACAAGTGCTACTGGATTACATACTTGTATTATTAAGACCTGAAGATCCAATAGCCGTGGGGAAGGTTGAGAATCCAAAGAAGAGAAGGCCAGGGAAAACAGGCAGGAGGGAGTTTGACCTGTTTGGGGCCTCAAAGTGAATAAATCACAGAGTTCCTAATGCCACAAGTAGGGGGTATTTAAAAATAGAAAGAATGGCCAGGCAGAGTGACAGGAAAAAAATTCCTTAGGCTTTAGGTGACCTGGAGGCCTGGACCTGTGGAATGGATGTTTGGAAGGTAGTAGGAAAAGGGAAGGTGTTACCTGGACAGAGCTCCAGCCATCTATCTGCCCCAGGGTGCTCAGCACTCCCCAGTCCACTAGGATCAGCTCCTGTAGTTCTCGCTCTCCTAGACCTATTAAGAGCCGACCCAGCTGCAGGATCTGCTCAGGTCGGAATCCCCGGGGAGGACCCCACAACTAGGAGAAAGAGAAGAACAGTGTGAATGGAAAAGCAATGGTCTAGGAGTCAGAATGCTGGGTCTTAGTCATGCTTCTGACCTTAGCTGTGTAACTGTAGGCAAATCACTTGCCTCTCTGGGTCTTGAGTTTCCTCAACTGTATGCTGAGGATGCTTTAAGGTTCCTCTGACTAAGGTGTTACTGAAAGACACTAGAGTCTCAGTAGGGAAGATAGCAGACTCTAGTCCATGAGTTCTAAACTTTTATGTGCACCAGACTCACTGGGAATGCCTGTTAAAATGCAGAACCTTAAAGCCCTAAGAAGATTCTTCAGTGAGTCTAGCATGGGACCCTGGCATCAGCATTTTAAAAACCTGCTCCCTGGATAATTTCGATAAACAGTAAGTTTTGGAACCCCTGCTTTCTTCCTTCTACCCACTGTACTAGCTTCCTCTCCTCCATACTCATCTCCTCTGACCCCCTACTTAGGATCCAAACTCTCTAATTCTTTAATCTCCTGTTTCTCCCACCTCTTACCCAGCTATCCATTCCCTTGTGTCCCATAATTGCACCCAACCAGCTTCCTCATGTTGGCCTCTCCATAACCTAACCTGTTTTGCCTTGCCCATTGCTGCCCGTAGTCCTTCAGGCCCAAGTCCTGGGTCTCCTGCAAATAATGCCAGGCAGTCCTCAAAGTCTGCGAGCTCCATCTCTGCAATCTGAGTTGCTGACCAGGCTGCTGGGAATGTCCCCCGTACATCTGCACAATTTGGCACAGGTTCTGAAGGGGTAAGGCAGGCACAGGGGGTCAGTGTAGAACTAAACTATGCCCAGAGAAATATCTATAGAAGGAATGATTCCCTCCCACCTTTGGATAGGGCAGTGTGGACACCATGGACCAAAGGATTACTCTAGTGTGAGAATTGTAAGACTCAAAGGATGTTAGAACAAGTAAGTGACTAGAAAGGACAAGCCTTTCATTGTATAAATGGAAGACTGAGGGAGGTTGCCTAGGGATTTAATGGCAGGTGTAGATCAGAACCCAGGTCTCTGGCCCCACAGGGTCTCCCTCCTACATCCTAAGCATCTTTCCAGCAGACAGCTCCATACTCTAACATAGAGCCAAGCCTGGAAGCTGGGACACTGTTAACAGGGATAAGAGAATGGGAAAGGGGAAGTCCCAGGCTAAAAATGCAATAGGTTCTAAATTTCTAGGGCAATAGAACCCTAGAACTGGAAAAGACCTTGTAGATCATCCCTCTAACCACTTTGGTTTATAGATTAGAAAACCCAAGCCCAGAGAACAGAAAGTGTGCAAATCTACTTAAAGGGCACAGCATACCTAGAGCCTAAACTTATGACTACATTGCTGGATATTGTGTCCTATACACCCCAATAGACATATGAATATTTGGGTAGTTTCACCTGGGAGATCTTCTGCAGTAGGCCGTACAATCCCAGCTACCAAGGCTGCTTTCTTGGGAGCAAGCTGTGGCCTCCCACATAGCTGTCCAACTCTGCTCTGCTCCCAGCTCTGCTGTTTCTCTAGGAGCCACTCCAGGGTCTCTGGGCCCAAGGCTTCCTGCGTGAGAAGGTAGATGGAGGGTGCAGAGACCTAGGAAGGTCAGGGCCAGCTGCTGCAGCTGTAATTCCAAAGTCCTGTCTCTTTTTAGCAGTTTCCCCCAGATTCAGGCTTCCCATCCCTTGCCCTCAGCCTCCTTGGCCTTAGCTCCCCAGAACCAGCTCACCAGTCCCCTCTCTGCTCTTACTCCCTCCCTTGTTCCTTCACCTCACCCTGGGGATCAAGGAAATAGCTTCAGTAGACAGAGTGAGTACTAGGCGTCCAGCTTGCTCTACTTCACCCTGGCTCCACAACTCCGGCTTCCTGGGGGACAGGAAGAAGATCAGGGGCTGGGATGCTAAGAGAACTGTGAGGGAAAGGAAGGGGAAAAGAGGACATGCAAGGACTGGGGACTCAGGGCTCCAAGGAACCTCAAGTGTATTGAGTGAGCTGCCACTGATGATAGTGGCTAAGAGGGTGGGTGTAGAAGGAGTTAGAATTGGAAGTTCCCGAAGGTTCATACCCAAGAACAGGCTCCTGCAACAGGAGCCATCCCAGCTCTGTGGCAAATGGCTCTCCTAGGCAGAAGCCCTGCAGCTGATTGAGATGGGCCAGCAGGATCGGTAGGGGGATCCGTCGTGTACTCTCTATCCCCAGGAATCCAACCAAGGGGCCCAATGTCTCCAGCACTTCCCTTGAGACTGTTGTCTCCTTTGGAGCCTGGAGAGGGGCATCAGGCCTTGGGATAATGCATCTCTGACTCAGGACCAGACTCTTTGATCAAGACACCAAAACCTTTGATTTTTCTCTCTGTCCAGTTCCCAATGGCAAAACAATAGCAGTGTTTACTTCCTTAAATAAGGAGCCCAGATAGGAGGAGGCTGAAAGGCTAGGAGATGGAATCCAAGGAATTTTTGGGACTCCCATGAATGTGGACAAGAAATAGGAAGCAGGTTCTCAAGGAATGGAACCTAGAGGTAGATCTAGGAGCTAGGGTCTTGTGGACAAGAACATTTTGTTCGGCATCAAAAGTGTCTAGAAGACAGAGAGCATTGTCTGAGAGGTGAATATTATCCAGGCAGCAGTTCTGAGTCTGGTAGGTTGGACCCTTACCAAGTTTTGTAGTGCTCTCTCTGCCAGGGCTGCCCGGTGGAGGGGGGTCAGTGTCTGCAGTCGCTCTGGAGCTCCTCGTACCAGCTCCACCACCAACATGATAGAGTCATTGAACAGTCTATCCATCAACCGGACCCTACAGCAGTTTGACAACATGGGCCCTCAAAAATGAGCCCTGCTGAAATGGGCCACATTGCCCAGACAAAA